CTGCTATATAATTTTAGAACTTCACTATAAAGCAACACCAAAACTTGTTATCAACTAACCTACTTATTAATACAGGAATGGAACCTGAAAAATGAATACACAAATATATAATAAACTTGTCTAGTACTGGATGTCTGCTTTTCCTCTTCCCCTTCTTTTACAGCACATTACTGCCTTTAAAACTAAAGGAGTTTGTAACAACAGAGATATGGCAGTTGCCATTACTGACTTGGTCCTTGAAGGTGCACATTCCTTCCTTTACATATTGGTCAGTCACTGATTTAAAAAAGCATTTCCTTTTTAGGTGTCTTGGTGCATTTGCGACAGAAACAATTGAGTACTGTCCGTGATACTTTTTTTATTTGCACTAACATACAATTTTGAGGACAAGCTTTCGGGGAGTGTCCCCTTCTTCAAGGTCCAAGCAGTACTATACAAATCACAAAGTTTTAGCAGAATGTTAGAAGAGATGAAAAAAAAAAAAAGGCTAGAGATAAGACACAGCAAAAGCAAAGGGGGGGGGGAGGGGTGGAAGACAACACTCACATCACAGAGGGAGTCAAGCTCAGCTGATAGTCATAAAACTGTTGGATAATGATTGAGGAATCCCATGTCCAAATTCAGGCCGTTATCTCTGGTGTCAAATAGAATTATCATTCTTAGTTTCTTTCCTGAATGGATATGAAATTTCCTTTAAGAACTAAAATATTGAGGTCTCCCATTGTGTGGCCTAGTTGTGCAAAATGGTGTCCCACAGGTGTGCAGAAAGTCATCTTCTTTATGTTCCTTGATGGTATGTCTGTGCAAATTCATCCTTGTTTGCAACTTCTGTCCTGTTTCGCCATCATAAGATCCTTTGCTGCATTTTCTGCACTGGATAAGGTACACAACATTACTGGAGGTGCAGCTGTATGATTCGGAAATACTGAAGATCCCTTTTGAGTGTCTGACACTTTTTGATGGATTGATTTGGTTGCAAAGTTTACAGCATTTTTATTGCAGGGTTTGCTTCCATTATTTGTGACCCCATAATCAGAAGGAAGTTTCCAACTGATTAGTTTATTTCTGAGGTTGGGGGGTTGTCTGAAGGCCATTATTGGGGGTTTCTGGAATATTTCTTTCAGAGTTCCATGCTCTGTTATGATGGGTTGTAAATCTTTGATTATTTTTCTTATTCCTTCTATAGCTGGGTTGTATGTGGTTACTAGAGGTACATGGTTGTTTGTTTTTTTTCTCTTTGTACTGAAGTAGATTTTCTCTTCGGGTTCTCAAGGCTGTGTTTATGCTGTTGTTGATAGTTTTGTCCTTGTAACCTTTCTTATGGAAGGAGTCTGCTAGTGTCCCGAGATGTTTATCTCTGTCTCTTGGGTCAGAACATATTCGGTGGTATCTAATGGCCTGACTGTGTATGATGGCACGTTTCGTGTGTTGGGGGTGGAAGCTAGAACTGTGAAGGTAGTTGCATCTGTCAGTGGGTTTCCTGTATATTGAGATGTGATATCATCCCTGATGTATACTGTGGTGTCTAGGAAGTTGACGTGTGTGTTTGAGTATTCCATTTTTAGTTTGATTGATGGATGAAAAGTGTTGATCAATGAGTAAAATTGTTTTAGGTTTTCTTCACCTTCTGTCCATATGATGAAAATAATCCATATGATGAAAATATCATCAATATAGCGATAGTATCTGTATGGATTTTGTTCCATGCTGTTCAGGAATTTTTCCTTCAGGTTAGCCATAAATAAATTGGCATATTGGGGTGCCATTTTACTTCCCATCGCAGTACCCATACATTGAAGATAGATGTCTTTATTGAAGGCAAATTAGTTGTGTGTAAGTATGAATTCAATGAGCTGTGTAACATCCTCAGCAGCATATTTGTGGTTTGGTGAGGATGATAAGGATCTGTGACATGCAGCTAATCCATCCTTGTGAGGGATATTACTATACAGGGATACTACATCCATAGTCACTAGAAGTGTATTAGATGGTAATTGCTGTTACCATCTAATTGTATGTTGTATGTTATGTTAGTGCAAATAAAAAAATTGTATGTTAGTGCAAATAAAAAAAGTATCACGGACAGTACTCAATTGTTTCTTTTTAGGTGTCCAAACCCATTACATTACAAATGCATTACATGCATGCTGTCTTCTGGATGCGTTACTCAGTAAACAGAAAACAAGGATGAGAATGAGAGCCACAAAGCTTGCATCTCAAAGTATAGGTCAGCAAAAGCAGTTCTCATATCTCAATCCTGAGATATTATCTTTAAATTTTAAATAAAACTAATAGATGCACTATTTAAAATGTAAAATAAACCAAATGGAAACACAACTACATATCCGAAATCTGAAAAAGATCAGGTGTTCATTGGCCAAAATAAGCTTTACACCTCTACTATTACAGAGAATGACACAACCTTTCTAGCACAAGAAATCTGGCTTCTCATCTCACTTCTGAGAAATTGTAAAATATGTAGGAGCTGTGTACTCTGAACCTTATGAAGCAATTTTGCTGAGCATCTCTTTTCTTAGGGTCATTGTTTCAAAACAAGCCAATAGTCATCAGAAGCCCCATGCTGATTTTCGAGATAAAAGCTAGGAAGTCATCATGCCTGTGCTATGCAATGTTTTTTCCTTGACCTTTATTCTACAGTTTTAGATATGATCACACACAGATAGAAAATACAGTTATTCAAAGAGTTACTGTTACCTAAGAGCCCACAAAGATGAATTTCTCTCACATTCAACCTAACACTGGGATCACTAAATCTGTCAGAATCCTCATTGGGACTTTTTTTTACTTACTGTGGACAGATACTGTATGTTAGGGTTAGCTTTTAAAACAAAGTACTGTAGAAAAGTCACAACAGTGAAATTCGTTTGGACAGTACATTACTGACATTTTATTTCTGACCTTGTATAAAGTTAAAATGATAAGAAGATGCAAACATGGTATAAATTGCTGATAATCATGCAAACCCATATTTGTTCTGATATTAAATGGTCAAGTAGCAGACAGAGCTGGATGATATAAAGATGTCCTTATTACTGTATATCTTCATATTACTGCCCTGTGCAATTATGCTTATGAAGGCTATGGAATTTATAATCTTGACTTAATATGTATTGAAGAATCACCACTATGAATTACCAATTGATTACTATTATGGAAAAATTGGCAGCCTGCTACATGAATTACAGGGATCCATGATAGACTCATGCACTTGCAGGTATATTTGAGTAAGACGTCTCAGGTACTGCCACTTATAAATACTTGGGGTTAGCAGCTTAGTAATAACAATTATTTGAGTAAATAAAACATGTTGTGTATATTGGGCTCTTTTTGTTTGCCAATATGTTTAAAATGGTTCTAAAGCCTGATCAATTTTTACCTTAAACTAAAATCAGTCTGTATATGCAGTAAAGCATGCTTGTTATACTCACCTAAGGGGTTAATCCTCCTCATTGTGTAAAATGGCTGTTTGATCTTGTCGTCTATGATCCTCTAGGAGCCACTCTGCACATGCTCAGTTTAGAGTGTATGGATAGAGAGTTTTTATTTTCTTTGGGAGGGTGTACATACATGATCAGTGCAGGGCCAATCAGCACTGTCCAGACAGAGGGTCAGGGTCATGCAGCCTCATAAGACAGTCACAGCAGAATGAAAACTCCTCCTACAAGATTAACCAGTGCTCAACTGGACACTAATAGAAGTCACAAGACTGGTGTATACTGCTGATGAGAAAAAGTATTTAGCAGTTTATATTTACTAAAATAATTGCATTTCCATGTAGTGTGGGAGACCAGACATAGAGAATGCAGGGTCATGGGTTTAATAACACTTTAATGCATTCCCTGCATTAAGGTAGAAAATGTCCCAGCATTTGTATTGCTCCTTCACCCCCCCCCCCTTTATACTTTGCACAGAGCAGGTAAGTATAACATGTTTGATTTTTTTTTTTTTAGAAAAACAAGTTAAACTTTACAACCACTTTAAATATGAAAATACTTGAAAGCCATATTAAAAGAATATCTTATTATATGGACTATGTTTATACATAAAGGTTTATTTACTAAAGGTAGATAGACTGTTCACTATATTTCCCAGAGCTTAGTGAAAGAGGTAAAACTGTTGACTTTCAATCATGTGTAAGCACATATTCAGAATTATTTTTTAATTTACCGGTCTTATGATTGGGTAATTGAAATTTCTCCACATTCATTAAGTTCTAGAGTAAATTTTCTTGCAAAGTGAAAAGCCTATTTACCTTTAGTAATTCAACACCAATGTTGCAACTCATTCTTAACAGAAAATGTCTTCATGCAATAAAATGCACAAATAACCAAAGAGCTATTAAGCGAATGAGTTTAAATTTTGTATTCTATACATTACCAACAAAATAACAGGTTGCTGAAGCACCATTCTGCCGATGCTGCAGACAATCATAATACAACATCTATGTTCACAAAAGAAAAAAAAAAAAGAAAACACCCACACAAAGTAGTATTTTGTCCAAAAGAAAAGTAATGGATTGTATTTTTATAGTGAGAACAAAATAAAACAACTTAACGGGGCCATTAAACATCTTTACAGCACAGTTTAAAATAACTATCTGAGGAAAGATTCACAGTCAAATACACTTGACGAGTTTGCGACAAAGTAATTGCAAACAAAGCCGCATTATTCACAAAATGGCACGATCCCGGGCAAGTTTCAGAGTAAATTATTACTGTATGGTGACAGTGGAAAAAAATTTAGCAAAGAAAAAATTTAACAAAGATGCCAAGTTTACTTACAGCAGTTCTTGTTTTTACTTTATGTCTTGATTTCAAATATATTTTAGTTGTTTATCTTAAACACAGTGCAAGCTCTGTTCTTCAGAAAATTGTTAGTTCACAGTGCTTTTTAGTAAAGACTGGATTACGTACAGGTACACAATATGACATGCAGTTTATACTGAAATGACAACGTACATTTACAGAAACTAATCTTACCATTCCATCAGATACCTCACAGCAGTTTTCTTGAGCCGCCTGTTTTGGACTGCAGTAAATTGTTATTCGCTGGAGTTCAATCTAAGATAGAAAATAATAAATGGAAATCAAAAATTTCATCACACTAAAAGGGAAGACTGTGGATCTAATTGCATTTCTGAATAGCATACAGAAGACTGATCTGTAGAACTATGCATGGATCCTGTATTCTTGTGACAGAATATGAGACTTGCCTGTAAAAAATATACATTTACAAGGGAACCTGTGTCAATGATTGAGAGCTCCAGAAACATCTTTTTTTTTGCAGTTGGTAGAGTGGGTAAGGGTTGAATCCTCTGTCATTTCTTCCTATTATTTTTGTGCAAACTCTATTATTATTATTATTTTTAAAGATATTCAGTATAAATGCTCTGACAATCACACAGAAGTTACCCATATCCTGTTGCCCTGTTTAAACAATTGATCACTTTGTACAAGCCTAGCTCAACACAGACAAAGAACTGTTATATCGCCAATTGACAGGGACCCCAGACAATGTGACACTTTGGGGGAGATTTACTAAACCTGGTGTACTCAGAGTTTGGTGCAGCTGTACATGGTAGCCAATCAGCTTTTAGCTTGTTCAATTAAGGTTTGTCAATAAAACATTGAAGCTGATTGGTCTCTCTGTAGATCTGGATCAGATTTTGCACTCTCTAGTTTTAGTAAACAACCCCCTTTAAGTCAGGTATAATGATATCCTGTGAACATATTACAATTCATGGGAATAGACTTTGGCGTTGACAAGTGATGTAAACAGGAGTGATACAGCTGTTTATTTGTGTACTGGTGAGAAGACAAAGCAGTCCCTATTTGGCCAGTTATCAGAAAACAGTGAACTGGAAATTGCTGTTCAACACACGGGAAAGTTTAATCTCTTGCGGTTTCTGGCTCTATAAGCACTACTTACCAAGAGGAAACTTTTAAACTGCTTAGACAAACCAAGTTTACACTTTTATTGTCCCTGTCACTGAGAATTATACCTACCATAGTACAAGTTACATATGAGAATGGCATGCATCTGATAGAGCGGGATGTTTATAAATGTATTATCATGTGAAGGTATGTAACTTTGATGTATGCCACATCATTTCATTTAGTTTTAGCTATAGACAAGCAGATAATTCTTCAAGCATACCATGCCACTCACTTGATGGAATGAAGAGTTATCTCCATGGTTAACACCTTTCTTTTCTCACTGGTGCTGTTGGTGCATTAGCAAAACCATTTTCCCTATGATATTACTATCTGAATAAATGTATAGATTTGTTCATGTGAGCCAAGTGAAAATATATTGCTTTAGCAAGCTTGCAGCTCTTGCACCAAATGATCAGACCTTAAGCTGCAGATTAGAGGTCAATATGCACTTTAGTAATTTGCTCGTGTGAAGGGAAACCTCATCAACTCCATATGTCTCCGATCAAATCCAGGGACAAGGCAATACTACTTCCAGCTCATGGGTACATGCAAAGGATATTTGCATACAGTGAGAATTATCCTTTATAAATATTATATAAAGCTATTTTTTAAAACCTAAAAATTATGACATACCATCACAATGCATCAAAAAGGCAGTCAGATAAAACACGCCTCATTACAAACAAGTGGCACTAGCTATTCAAAAGTCAGTCATGTTTATAAAGGACAATTCTAACACTGTATGCAATTATCCTTTACATGTGCTCATGTGCTGGAAGTAGTATTGTTTTCTCCCTGGAGATGGTTGCAGACATATGGAGTTAATGATGTTTCCTCCACACGGGCAATTTACCAAAATGCATATTGACCTTTATGGTGTAGTCTCAGGATTGATCATCAGATAAGTTTACTTTTTTTTTTTTTTTTTTTTTTACAGTGGAGGACAGAAAAGTGTTCTGTGCACCAGAGTGAAATAGTGTTAGTGTCAAAAATGCTATAAAATTACTAAAGTGTATTTTTCTGGATGTGTATATGCGTCTAATATTGCAAGCTGCTACAACCATTATATAATATTGTTTTTCAGAGAAATTTTCAGAGAAAAGTCCATAGCATGAAAATTAGCACATAACAGGTGAATTACTGAAGGAGTAAAATGTAAGACGTTACTTTCTCTCCATTAAACTTAAAATTGTGAACTGCTACTGCTATATTACAATATTTCAAAATTCTTTTATGAGAAGAGGCATACAATTCCATTTATTTCTGTATTTCTCATATTGGCTTTGAATAATATTGTTTTGTCATATTTTATTTAAAAAGTCACTGTACTGTAACCCTCAAATCATTTTCCTGTGCCCAAAGTTTGCAAATCAGTTTCTTTCTGTATATGGAAACCAGGGGTGCCAAACTTTCCAACTGTTCTTCAAAGGTCATTTACTACTGCCATTAGTTTCTCTAACGCTCAGTATTGTGCACGCTCTGTTAATCAGAGATAATTGCTGACCGATGTGTATTGTTAGTCTGCCATTTTTATGCCAAATAAGTCTGTATCAACTTACAAAAGACCTAACAGGTTATTTTAACTCAGTGTCTAAGAACATCAACCTGTATGTTCATGTTCTATGTTAATTACTTCAGTCATTACTGATTTTGACACAAATGTGTCATATATGTCCACCACATACAAGCAAAATCAACATTTGCTGACCATCTTCAAAATATTAAACAATAGATTACTGTATATATACTTTGCAATTTTGAAAGTAGCATATAGTCATTCTAATTAACTATCATCACTGCATACTGACATTTATGCTACCTTACTGTTCCTGGCAAGGTCAAAATAGAATATATCTACACATTCAGTCATAAAAAAACATTCAGTAATAAAAAGAAGGAATAAAGAGGGGAAAGAAAATGCACACTTGTTCAGTCTAGTTATTATCCTTTGTTCAGTAATTGTGATGATTTTTTAGACCTGGTTTACACACTGGTGCACTTTCAGATGCGACTGAAGTCATACAGAATCGAGTAACAATTAAAATTACATTGATTTCAATGGTTCCCATTCACATTAATGTAATGCAGCTGACATGTAACTTTGGGGATGGTCCCTGTAATCCAGTACCATCCAGTGCAATTTTCTGCCCCATAGATTTAATGAAAATGCATCACAATCACATATACATGTATTTTTTGTATTAAAAATCGGTGAGTTGTTCCCCCATCTATTCTCCTCCTCCTCTTCCATCATCTCTGCAGAAATCACACCCAGGGCTGCTGTTAGAAACCACGGGCCCCATACAGCCAGTCTGACAGGGCCCCCCAAAAAACCACTGCTTACTATGCTTTAGTTATGAGTGAACACAGTGAGTAATAAGTACTGATTACTTGTTGTGTTCATTTAGGAAAGGAAAGACCCTTGTGACATATTTACCGGACCTTTCCCCCCACTCTCCATCCTGAAGGATTCATTTGTGTGCTTGCACCTGCCGGTGGGAAAGAGAGGAGAAAAGCTGGCAGGGGGGTGGTGGCACACTGGGGTGCCTGCGCAGCAGGGGAAAACGTAAGGTGCACAGGGAGGGTGATAGGTACACTTACTGGGGGCAATTACTGGAACCAATCCCATGTATGGCTTTCTCTGCAGCAGCTGAAAGTCAGTGGGAGGGAGAGGAAAACAAGCCAGCTTTCAGCTTCTAAGGAGACAGCTTTTTTTTTAAATTAAAATAATAAACATGTTATACTTACCTGCTCTGTGCAATGGTATTACACAGAGAGGCCTTGAACCTCCTCTTCTCGGGTCTCCCACTGGCGATCTTCACTCGTCTTCTTCTGTGTTTGCCCCGCATGGCAAGACGCTTGCTATGGGGGCAAATGTGCGGGCTTGATCCAGAACCAGATTTTGTGCATCAATAGATACACACAGAGAGGCTTGGCCCATATCCCAATATCTCATCACAGCATTTTATTGACAGTAACAGGAGCCAATGGCACCCGCTGCTCTTAGTAAATGCAGCAATAGAGCAGAGCGCGGCTGCCGGTAGGGACATGGTGTCAAGTAAGTGTTTAGGGAGGGAAGCACACACATTGGAAGGTTTATTACCCTAATGCAGGGAATGCATGAAGGTAGAAAAAATGTTTTTTCTTTAGAATCACTTTACGTTTAATACACTATGCTATGGTAAAAATATGCTGCTGTCCTTAGAAGAGCAAATGGTTAGTCAGCAATAAACTTAGAAGGTAGAAATGGGAAAAGTTTCCGTTAGAATACATATGTTAGTGGACATATGAAATATAATTCCAGTTTCCATTTTCTAGGCTTAGTTCTGTATGAAATAAATGCACCTCTCGTTAACATGGTGAGGTGCAGGGAAGATAGCTTTGGGAGTCACAGAGAGATTTAATGATGCAGTGAAACATCATAAAATATATATTTAAACATTCATTCACTTAGGGAGCTGGAAAGACTTATCTTGTTATTTATTGCTGCACTGCCTCTTATTGCTCATGTCTGTGCTATAAACACTGTGTGAAAAGCAACAAATAATATGTGTGTGTCCACTTTTTACATCTGATAGAATGCTACCGGGTTATAATTTATCAGTGACAGTAATAGCAGGCGAGGTGGGAGATGAATATTCAGTGCCAGGAATGTTGACTCAAGAACTGCAGTCATGATCAATGAGCAATAGAGTTTATGCCTTAGCATAATATTGCACATGCTAGATATGCCTCTTTGCAGTTCACCTTAGATGATGTAGTATGCATATATCATGTGACCTTTTATACTCCAGTTTATTTTTCTTTTGATTCCAGAGCTTTTTACACCCTTTTTCATAAAAACAGGATATAAAGCTTTGCGGTCAATTTATTTGTAGACCACAATGGTAAAACTGTCACCAGGTTGGCAGGTCTGTGGTTAATTCAGATGTGGGTGATTTACTACAACAGAACATTTTTGACCAGATTCAGAAGGATTAAAAAGATTTTTAAAAAAGGCATTTTCTTTGTATGCAGTTGGATGAATGAAATAAATCTGGCTTCACCAGACAAAGTAAATCTTTTTAGTAGATCAACAATGAAATGTACAACTGTTTCCCACACAAGTTATAGAAAACAGAGAA